TACCCGTCGACACACGCCGGGGAGAGGCGAGGGGGTGCGGTGCAAGTTTTGCAACAGGCATATATAATTATCACGAGTGCGAGAACTGTCGAAAAAAAGAACACTTCATACCGAAGCGGAACACGCTTCCGTTCTGTTTTAACCGAGTGACTGCTAAGTAAAAGCAGCAGAATGACAACGAGCGCACCTCGATTGAGTCTCCGTTTCTCGACTCGCTCGGGGATAATCACTTTTTTTTCTTCCTTTTTAGAATTGTCTAGAAAGTCGAGGGGATCTATTATAGTCGGGCAATTTCCGCGAGATGACTGTGTCCGGTACGGAACGCGAGGGATCCATTATCGTTACGCTCGCGAGACGTGTGTCGGACGCGTCGCGCGTCGTCACGGAAGTCCCACCGAAGCCGCCTTGGAGACGTCTCTTCGCTTGCGGGCTTCTTGCGGCCGTTATGTGATAACACCAAGCGAGGGGGAACGGGAGAAAGAGAGAGAGAGAGAGAGGCCCCGCTATTATGTCGCGAACGACATCGGCTGTGGTTGAGAGGCGCTGCGGCCATTTTCACTCTCCCGCTGGCCCGCAGAAGCGGGCTGCTGCATTTTTGTACGTTCACTTGGCGGCCAACGTCATTCTCTCTTTCTCGCTGCCGGCGCAGTTTCAGGCTCTCCGCTCTTTCCTTCGTTTAACGGTATAAACCGCGGTGAATTACGACCGCAGGATCCTCGCTCCTTCGAGAGGATCCTGCAGCTCGTGGCGCAAGAGCCATCCACCGGTAAATCCACCGCTCAGGAGGTCACCGGGTCGTCCGGCGAACTCACCTCTCTCTGTCTCTCTTTCTCTCTATTTCTTCCGGCCCGCCCACAGTCTCTCTCTCTCTCTCTCTCTCTCTCTCTCTCTCTCTCTCTCTCTTTCGTTTCTTTGAATGGCGATGGAAATAAATGGTTGTTAAACCGCTATAATTGATTGTTCTCGAGCAATCGATTAACCGCAGGCGAAGTAATCGCCTAATCGCCGTTACAGATGAATTGTTAATAACAGATCGCGTTCGTTCGTTATTCGTGGTTATCAAGTCTTTGCTCGATAATAATTATTAAGTTTCACCGTTCGGCTTCAGGAAATTCTTCGATCCGAGGTCACAGGGAGGATGTACGGCTACCTCTCTGATATCGGTGAGAAATGCAATCTCGCGGATACTCGCATCGTCGCAAGAAAAATCGCTCGCTAATGAATCCGTTCGATTCCCAAGCGGAAACCGCCACCGTGGGGTTCGTCACGATACGTCTTGCGCGCGCGCGGAAAACGAATTTTTTTTTGCCGAGTGTAAGTATAGGAGTGGCCATCGGGCAAGACGGAGAATCCGCACGCGGATGTTCGTGCGCGGCCGCACACACGCGAAATTCATGCAACGCTATATCCCGTTAGTCGACATTCATCGGCTTGGACTTCATCTCCGGCCTCCCAGTGTCCTCTCTCCCTCCCTTCCTCCCCCTTTCCTTTCCTCTCTCTTTCTCTCTCTCTTTTTTCTTCGCCCGTTCCTCTTTCTGCTCTCTTCGAAGTGGCCGTTTGCCAATAAGAGATGTTAGAGAGGGACCGCGCGCGTCCATTTCGCTCAGCAGTGCCCAGTTATGCGGACTGTAACGGAATCGGCCGACTAAATTTACCGCGGCCTTATCGATCACGGGCGCGGACTTTCGGTCCCCGTCCGATCTCTCCCTTTCCCCTCCTCGCCCTGCCTTGCCCTCGTCCCGGTGACGACACTTTTTACTTTGCCGTAAATCCCGAAAAAGCAGATCGAGCCGTCGCACGATTTATGGCGCGCACTTGGAGTCATAAGCCGCGTTAGAGACCCCGGGAATTTTCGCGATAAAATAATGAATGGCGATTGCCATAAATAAATCGGAAAGGGAAATAAATGAACGGACGGGCGCGGCCCGGGGAACGCGCGAACGGTCGAACGAACGACGTGAATAAAGTAAAATAGCGCAAAATAATGACGTATACGCAAATAGCGTGGATAAAGTAGTAGTAATAATAATAATAAGTACAGCTTGACGCAACAGCTTGACGAAGTGACAAAAGAGTAAAAAGTCGAAAGGTCTTCTCGCGTAAAGAGAGAGAGAGAGAGAGAGAGAGAGAGAGAGAAAAAGAGAGAGAGGACGAGCACGGCCACAACAGCGACGATGAGGATTCCTATGTGCCTTCGCAACGTGTAAGAATTTGGAAAAGAGCACCGAGAAGAAAATTACAGCGCGGATTCCAACGCGCTTGTCCGCGTTACGTAACGCATCGTTGAGTCGCGGCACGCGTCTTAATGGGCCTTACCAATCTCCGTGAGTATTATACGTATACGTTACTCCGCGCGCGCGCTTACGACGAGTTATTCATCTCATCGCGGCGGGGAGGAGCAGCGCGGTCGATTCCCTATCGTTCGTTCACCCCGCGTATACATTCTTTCACGGCAACACGGCGAATTTGCCCCGCGGGCGTCCCGACGTCCAGTCGAAGGTATTACGTAAGAATGTGGCCGGCCATCGTCCGCGGCGGTGGCGTGCGCGCTACACGAAAACGTGCCACGGCGGAGCCTCGTACTTTTCGGGGCCGCGTGACATCCGGGCTGCATATTAAAATTCAATCCTATCGTTGTTTGAAAATAGGTATGAGTTACACTGTTTCTATCATTTGCACTATTATTATCGTCTTAAGTGGTCGGGAACGGAAGGTCGGGGGAGCGTACTGCAATTAAATCGGGCACGGTCGGACGGTGAATTGAAGTAACGGCGGCTGTTCGCGCGTGATTCAGCGAGATTGTTTTTCGCGAGCCTGTTAATGAAGCCGCGGGCCGCAGTTTCGAAGAGTACCGTTGCTCTTTCGCGAGCGAGTCGGCGGGCCTCTCGAGCTTGAATTTTTTCGAGCGCAGGAGGAAACGCGCATGCAGAAGATAATTGGCGCGCTGTCAAATCGAATCGGCGATACGGGGCGTCGTTACCTTCCGACGCATCTGACGGCGGCAACCTGCTCTCCCATCCCCTCGTTCCCCCTCCCCTCCCCCATGCCGTCGTCGGAGAGCCGGGGGCAACGGTGAAGGTCGGGGGGTGAGCCGAGTTTAATTTAGCCGTCACGCGCTCCTGCCGGGATCGATACATCGTAACCACATCAGCGGAGTTACGCCTCGTGAGTGCCACCTTAACTTCGACGGCGACGCGCGCGGCTGCCGAAAGGAAAGGAAACCCCAAACCAGATTCCCCGCTTCCGGAACGACGCCCCCGACCGTGTGACGCCCGCGGGCGGCACGACGGATACCGCCCCCGGCGGGATCGACGGACGATCCCTCCGGGCGCTCTCGCACGTTTCGGGAAAACATTGATCTTAACTCCGAAGTTGACTTAACCGAGATTTTGGAATTTACGTTCCTGAGACGCATCCCGTCTTATGGTTGCGTGAGGTAGCTGGAGATTGGAACGTGCGACAAACGGAACATTTCGAGACATTTAATATATCCACAATTTTCTCTTGATTTTCATTCTTTAGCAATCAAAATTTTATTTTTGACGAGAAACACATCGATTTTTCTAGGTGGACTTAATTAACATCTCTGAATTTCTGTACGTTGAAATTTTCGGAAATCTCTGAATTGAATTAAAAAGATTATATACGGGATTACACGTAATAAATTGCGAGAGATATTTTAATAATTCTCTTAAAACCACGGTGGTAGTACAATGCTCAATTTCTCGGAATCGTTGGTTTCTGCATCCCGGCAGCCAAGTTCCGTGAACCTGCAACGGCTCAAGTTTGATAGCCAATTTATATTATCGGTCGTCCACTGCTAAACAATTTCTGCGTTCGCTGTCGCAACAAAGTCCATTATAACTCTCCGGTTGATAAGCCGAGCATATCAGTTCTAACTGCATTTCCCGCCATCAATTTACATTATTATCCTCAATTATCTCGTCGGCAAATAACTCATGCATTCCCTAATACAACGGCGTTGCGATCGTTAAAAGCGGCGTTTGTCGAAGAGTATCGGCGAGAACATCAAGATAGGGGAAACGGGCGGTAAGCCCGTTGATTTGAAATACAAGGGATCGCTTCCTCTCCACTTTCCTTTCCTGGCTTATCTGTTTATCTTATAATATTTTTAGTATTTCGTGGAAAAATAAAACATATCGGAGACAAGTGGCGTAGTGCGTGCGTAACACAAGGTCGCCGTGTTATCATTTGATCGTGCGTGATGTTATTATCTTTCGCAATCGTTCTCCACAGTGTTACATCTATGGTGTCAAACTGAATCTTATTTAAGTCACCACTGCTCCTACTTAATAAATAGTTCTTTACTAAAACAAAAATAAAACAAAATAGATAGTTCTTACTACAACAATGAAGTTAAATAATTTAAAACAGTTCAAATTTAACCTAAATTTGGGTTAAATTCCATTGTGTTATTTAAAAATAACTATTTATTAAGTAGGAGCAGTGACTACTTAAATAAGGTTCAGTTTGACACTGTAGATTTAACAGTGATATTGGTTGATTACCGGCGGGTGCAATCAATTAACTCCCAGCGATTAACATCGTTTCGAAAACGTACAGCGAGACAGCGGCTGTTTACCGTGCAGGCAAGCATCTCTCGCAAACGGGTTCATTTACATAAACTGGAAGTTGAAGCGACGAGAGTTGTAAAGTTAAAGTACGGTTATGTGTTTATATGACGTTAAACGAAAGTTTGGGGAGGATCAGAGAGGATCAACGGACGGAAAACCGAAGGATTTTAGAATCGGAGTCGTGGAGTTTCCTCCTTGGTTTCGTTTATGGTGCGTGTGTAAACGCTGTGAAAGCGTCTCTTAGATTCATTTCGTGATTGGATTCTTATATTAATTAATTATTTAAGCTCAAATAGTTCACGCGATAAAAGATTAAAATATTTTTACCTTTAAGATATGCTTCACGTACTCTCAGTTCAGTGTGCGGTTTATGAAAGACGCTCTTTTTCTTCTGTTTTTTCCCAGAATATCTTGGATAAGTTCAATCCTGGCGCGAGGCAGCTGATCAACGCAGGCAAGGCGTACCTGAAGGCTCTTCACGGTGAGTGAATTAAATGGAGTGTGCCGGGGCGCGCCTGGAAAAGAGGAGAGAAAGAGAGAGAGAGAGAGATATAGACGGGGTGACGGGGAGGGTTTCGCTCGCGGGTGGAAAGAAGACCGTTGCACAAAGAACCCGGGAAAGGGCGGGAGGGAAAGGGAAAGAGAACTTCGTGTTAGCCCCTTGGGTCCTGTTGCAGGATCGAATTGCCAGCTCGTTAGCATTGTGAGCTTTTGCCCCGCCCCTTTCCCCGTCTTTTTCTTTTTACCATTCCGCGGCGCTGATTAATTTATTTTACACGGGGAATATAGACACGGGGTTAATGATATGTTTAGAGTTTCATACGCTCTTTCTCTCTCTCTCTCTCTCTCTCTCTCTCTCTCTCTCTCTCTGTTACTTAATCGCGGGATGCGATTAATAATATCAAACATTTTCGAATCGGCGATATTAAATGTCTATTTAAATGTTGCGCAATTAAGGGAGGTTTCACCTTTGCCGGTCGTAAAAACCAGCCCTTTTTCATGAATTTTTTTAAGGAAATCTGTTATATACAGTAAAACGCGGGTTTTTGCAAGGGGAAAAAAGAATCAAGTCGATATCAAATCAAGTCTAATTTGTTTTTTCGTAATTACTTCCGTCAGCTCGAAAAAACATGCCACATTTAATTGCATTCAACTTGAAGTTAACCACTTGAAGCCACTGAATTAAAATAATATTTTTTTTGCTTTTCAAATAATATATAAGTTTATGCAAAAACCCGCGTTTTACTAGAATAGATTTCCTTAAAAAAATTCATGAAAAAGGGCCGGTTTTTACGGACGGCAAAGGTGAAACCTCTCTTAATGCAATTAAATTAAACTTCAACATTTCGTGCACGAGATACAAATCTCCACTCTTTATACTTTTTGAATCAAGATTGCATAATTGGATACGTACGAGAATCTCCATTGAAATAAAATCCTAAACTTCGTGTATGCGTACGCTGACGTTTTTTCAACGTCAGTGTTTCGTTCGGGGTGTGTTTCGCACTATACATATATCTGACCGCCGCGCGTTCCGCCACTGCATGGGCCCTGCACACGTGTGTTTATTTCCTCTCTTTCCACCTTTCGTATCTTCGCGGCCTTTCGTGGCCGGGTCAGATCAATCACCTTCGGGGATTAACCCGCTGACCCTGAAACGGACGGCTCGCGTGCCGCCGTTTCATGTGGATCGCTTGCTACTCGCTGTGGGATATCGCTCCCGGTGCACCCGGGAATAGAAAGGAAATAATTCGATGGAGATGTCTTCGTATATCTTCGTGTCTTTGATGCCTTTAGACGCGACCTCGCCTTTATTTCGCGCGATAAAATGAAAATTTTATCAGCAATTTAATTAACTGCTGATGGGATGTAACAGCAGAAATATTTTGTAATAATTAATTGCTTCTTTTACTGTTTTTTTACTGTAGAATCTAAATTGGAAAATGAAGATTGTAATTTTATCAAATTTGTGTTACTTAAAAAACATGCTATAACAATGAATGAAAGAGAATTTTCAGGAGAAATATCAAATTATCTGTGAGATTGTGTAAGAAATTAATTTTCATTAGGATTAATAAGATTTTACAAGATATAGAATATATAGAAAATTATTAAATATTAAAAAATATGCATTGATAACTGTGTCAGGAACTATTAACTCTAGAATGTCACAATGGGTGAATTTTTACCCAAGTGTTAATTTTCACTTAAAGTACTTTTTATTGTTAAAATTTTTTATTTCCATTTTTTATTTTAGTTAATCTAATTAGTTATTCTAACACCTTGCAATCTACAAAGAATAGTCAGAAAAGGATAAAGAAATTCTTAATTATATATGTGGGTAAATAATTTTTACCCAGAGTAGTATTAATGTAAGAAAAATATATGAGTAAGCATTCCAGAGTTAATATTCTCTCTGATCGATGATTGTTGAGCAACGACGATTATTTTTGTAAAACAGTAAAAATTGCAACTGACCCTAACGATCGCAAATTGCGAGATAATGGTACATCGCCGCGGCGATCTCTTCCGTGAGTTTTCCGTCGCGCGCTGAGTCGGTGGTTCTCGTTGATGGTCGGGAATTTGTTTAAGGAGCCGCCGCCGGAGAAAATAGTACTCGGCGGCGGAAAGTAGTTTGCGCAGCGGCACAGTCGGCTTTACATCAAAAGTGACTTAAAAGTTTCGCGCGGGGCCGCCCGGTCTTTGATGTAACGGTATTACCTCCTGCCGGCGCGGGCGCGGCGCCGGGAGTGGTAGAGGGATACTCGGGCGCTCCCGCGCGGAAGGGGGCGGCCTCTCGCCATTTCCGCCGGATGAAAATCGACTGACATTTCTGCACCGTAAAAACCCTCGCGAGCATATAATTAATTCTTCCCTTCTTTTTACGTCTGTTTTTCTTTCCCCTTCGATCTTTCCTCCGTGGGAAACGGCCTTCACGCGGGGAACTCCGGGAGGGCTGTGATTTATAATCATTTTGCGACCATATTCCGTGATGAACGCGCGCGATATACGAGTAATATCACTTTTCTGAAGAGCATCCCGGAGAAGAGAGTTCGGTAGATCTGTCCGTCGATAAGATCGCCAATATAAATTACGCTATTATCACCGAACGACGCTCTCTCGAGTCTCCGCGGATATCGGCGGCCGAATGCCGAAACTTTGCGCGCGGAAGGGGATAAGATCGCGACACGCCGCGCCGGTCTGCGCTGCCGGCGGCTTTATGGAACGCGCTTTATGGAAAAGTTCGGACAAACCGAACCGCGATAATTTCTTCGGCGGCGGTGCAGGTTCGGTGAGAAACTTTTTTATCTCGACGCGATTAGAGTGAGAGCGCTGCGAGCTAAATGGATGCTGAGCGTGGGTGAGACGAGGCGCGGGGTAAGGAGAGGCACATACTCGTTGGAGAGTTGGGGCGTTGCACAAAGAACGGTGCAACTTCCTTTAACGAGTCTCCGCGCCGAGAAAGAGAGCTAACTCGATTAGGAATTAATTTTTGACGACTCGCGAAGGACGAGACAAAGGGGAGAGTTCTCCGAATGGCCGAAAGATGAGAGATGGGAGACAAAGGTGAGGACGAGTGAAAGAAAGGCTAGGAATTAAGATGAAACCAGAGCTTCTCGGCTCCGCTTTTGGGGGAGGTAAATTGCATCTGACTTTTCTAGCTGTGTAAAGTTGCCCGCTATTAAAAATTCAAAAACGACCATTACCACTTGATTGGTGGTCGTTTGGTAGTATTTGGTAGTCCATTCTCAATGATTGATAGTCAAAGTTGTAAATAGTATATGTAATATGAAAAAGACATACGCGCGTGAAGTTAGCCCCCTCCTTTCGCAGAATATGACTTCGTAAGTAATCATAACTATAAGCGTTCGTTTGGTGGTTGTTTAATGATGTAACGATTACACTTATGAAGACTGGGAAAATTAATTTTAGAAAAAAAAAGGAACTAACTTTATGCGCGTGCCTTTTTTTTAGATTATTACAATTTTGTCTATCAATCATCGAGAATGGACTACCAACTAACCACCAATCTCAGTGCTAATGATTGTTTTTGAATTTTAGTAGTGGGAGGTCCAACTTCACACAACTGACTTTCTATCGATATGTAGACGGATTTTTAATCCCCCGTTAAACTTTTTTTTGATTAAACGTAAAAATAATATTCGGAGTATACACTTATCGCGTCATCTTTTAACAACTCTTTCGTTTCGAGGAAATATTAATTGCTTCTAAAAAAAATGTCGAATATTTCAAATTTTTTAATGTTTAATAATTTTCCAAATAGATACCTTCTATGATTTTAATTTTATTTTTATTCTTTAATTTTATTTTTATTATTATTAATTAATTTCTCGAGCAATTTTTTATTTGCAATTATTATAGATTGATTAAATATATTTCTTCAAGATTCCCGTTCGCTTTACCATTAAATCACATTTTTCAAATAATTCGGATCCGGTTAAATTTTCGAGCGGAATTCCAGCCTCCTTAATTAGTCAATCAAACTCCGGTAGCGTTATCAAAATGCGGTTCGCCAGCTAAAAACGGGCGAATTCATCCCCGAGTCGTCTTTGTTCTTAGCTCGAATTAATTTGTTCCACCGGAAGGAACTTGCCGATTGTCGAACTTATACCCAGGCCCTCGCAACTCATACCCCTCCGCGCCGTATACACGGCACCCTATCAGGAGCCGACTCTGCGACAATTTATAACGACTCGTCGAGCCACTTTGAGGGGCTCAATCCTGCAAGGAACTTCGTTCTTCCCTTCTTCTCCCCCTCCTCCCTCCACTCCTATCCCGTCTCCTTCATCTTGCATCCTTTCTCCAATTTTCCGTCATTCGCCTGTCTCCTAAGGACGTCACTTAAATACCAGGAATTCCGCGTTTCCATTTGATCGAAAGATGCACGAGGCGTCTTTTCGAATATAATTTCTTCTTGCGATACGTATCGGAAAGCGCTATGAAGCGGACGGAATTTTGGAGCGAGTACTATGTGTGTATTACTTGACAAAATATATATTTCTTCGTATTTTACATTATATAAAATAATATCTGATCAGATAATGAGACGAGATATATAACGTATGTACAATCAAATGATAAGTAGGAGGTTACTCATGATAATCGTCATTTTAGCGATTAGCTCGCTTCGGGCGTTTGCAGACCGCGAATTTTTTTTGCGCGAAATGACGGACGTGCGGAACATCGCCGAGGGCGAGAGACGCAATGGTCGCGGGGGGGGGGGAAGGAGGAGGGAAGAGAGTCATGCGCGGGATGTGATTTGAAAAGTTTTCTCGTTAAATAGCGCAAAAATGCGCTGGGAGAACGCGCGTCGAACGTAGACAGGAGGGTGACAGTGATCCACCGGGGCGGAGGAGGCCACACGGAAAAGGGTGCATCCACGTACACGTATGCATACGGGGATTGGGGGTTGAACGTCCGGCGTGGGGCGCGCCGGACAATGACGCGGGCCGCGAGGGT